ACAGGATTCACTATTGGAACTAATCAGAGTGAACTATAAACGTAAATACAAATCCAAAGAGCAAAGAAGGGGCATTTGAATTGTTCTTTACAAATAAAAATAAGAGTAAATTATTTATATTGGCACTAAGAAATCAAATGTCTTGGCTACAAAATGTGTATAACAAAACAAGATTTAATCAGATAACCTAAATAGAATTAACTATGGAGGAGTGAAGTGTAACAAACCAGCTATGTGCTACCTAATGATAAGAAGCTTTGTGCAGCACATAAAATGGTTTGTGTTATATAGTTGAGAATGTCGAACAGAAGCATTGTTGAACGTTACACGTAACGGGTGATGAAAATCCTTAATTACTGTGTGAGAATTTACTTTAAAAAAGTAAACGTTACAAAAATTTATTTTTAAACTATGATGGGGAAGAAATTTTTCCCATCATAGTTTAAAAATAACGGAGGAAATAATAATATAAATAATAATAAAAAAGTTTCGAAAGATATTTTAAGCTATTCCTTGAAGGTTTGTTTTTTTTTTGTTGTTGTATTTTAATGCTATGGTGTTGCTGTTTAGTAGTTTTCAATATTTTTAAACTACGTAAACTAGCCAGATAATTCAAAGTTTGGAAAGTTTTTAAAAATATAAGAAATTTTCTTTAGAAGGAAGAGGGAAAAAAATTCAATGGACGATCTAATTTATATATCAGGAAAAAATTCAAAAATATATGAAAGTTTGCAGAAAATATTAGTTTCATTGATGCACTATAACAATGTTATAAAATTATAAAATAACTTTTACATCACTTCAAAATATTTCTTATTAAAAACTAAATTCTTATTTTTTTAATTTAATATAAAGAATTTAATTTAGAATAAAAAAACACAATAAAAAGTCAAAACTTTTCTCTTTCTAAATAATTCGACTCTGTAATAATCTATAATGATCATTGAACAAAGATTTTTAAAAAAGAGATACTATCATGTATCACATAATTTAAAGTGAAATATTGCTAACTGAAAGATAAATATCAGCACTCATTTAAAAAAATTCTCTCTGAGGGTACTAAGAACGGTTTTTTCTTTCCTATGTCATTATGGGTTTTTCCAGGCCCACAACACATCGACCGGATAGCGAAGGATGTAACCTGGCGTCTCCGGGTCAAATCACACGTGGAAATTTCTGAAGATCCTACACAGACTCTAATTTGAAACTTCGGTACGCTCGCTGGCTGATTCATGCTAATTCCTCTTTTAGACATATCCAAATACATTACGTTGTTCCAATAGGAATTAGATCTATGTTTAAAAATGTATTTGCTGATTAAATACTTCTTTCATATTTGGTTCTTTTAATGCTGTAGATAGCGAGGGTCTTTTTTTCCTATACTCAACTTAGATTCACCCAGATTTACAATAGAGGCAGCCGGGTAGTGGGGGAGAGAATCCTACGTATCCGATACAAACCGCCCATGAAAAATGCTGAGATTTTTTACCCTGATACGATCCCGGGTGTCCCAGAATGGTAAGCCTAAGCATAATCGCTTGGTTGAAGGTTAACAGAAGCAAATTATATGTAGAAATAATTGAAACAATTAAAACTTTTATTAGAATAATTCAAATTCTATAAAAATATCTTTTATTGCGTAAAAAAATATTTCATATATAAATTATACAGCGTATTTTAATAATTAATGGCCGATAAATCATAATGAAATTTAACTTCATTTTTATCTGTTGTATTTTGAATTTTTCTTATTTTCAAACGCTTATCTTAAGCATTCTAGTTACTCGAATTCACAAAAAAATGTGGCACACCTGTTGCTTACGATACGATACATTGAACTTTCTAATTTATGGTGACAACGTGAAATTCCCGGCAATTTAAATGACATCATCTGTTTTTGTGACGTCATGAGTCAGCACAATAAAGATAAGAAATATTTATTGGATAGGGTTAGGCATAAATCGTATATTATAAAATTTCACACTATCTAAGGCAAGATAGTCATGCTGTTCTGGGAAGTCATGAAATGATATAAACATTGCTATAGGTCTATTTGATTATCTTACAAATATTTTCATTACCTTATATTGTTTGTATTTATAAAGTTTAATTTAAAGTTTGGTTCATTAAATTTCAGTATTATTTCAGTATTTCAGTATTAATCACGATGGCAATGGCACACGATCTCAAACTCAAAAATTGTGTTGTTTAATCATAAAAAAAAAACAAAATTGGATTTGTAATTCATATAAAACTTGGAAATACAAAGCTAAAAAAGTATCTGCTACAAAAATATTTGATAAAAGACAGATCGTAAATCCCTAAGGATAACTGGATAAGTGCCTCTTAGAATTCGAGGCAAGGCGTGTCTTTGTAATTAGATCTGAAGTAGTCCGCGTGACTTCTCGAAAGTGCACCAGCAACATATATAAATTATTAAAGCATTCCTTAAATATTTTTCGGTTATATTTATTAACTGCAAATAATCATTGATTGCCTTTTAATTATAATAAGATCAATTGTTAATATTTTATTTAAAAAAATTACTTTTCTGTGTGGTCTACTTCAAATTTCAAAAAAAAATGCGACTGTTTTTACAGCACTTAGTGAATTCGACTCAATTTACAAATAGTAACAAAAGTCTAATACTGCTTTTTTAAATGAATCTATTATATGTAGCATATATCACATGTATCTTGTAAATAGTATGTAACAGATCCATGTAGTAAACTAATTTATGAAATGTAAACTTGGATGTAATCTATGAAATGTAAAAATGTAGGCATAATGAAATTAATATCATTTTATTCAATAGATTTTTTATATATTTTTTTTAATTCTAGGGAGAAAGAATGCATATACGTCAAACTGATTATATTTAGAAGTAAATTTAAATTTTAGTTTTATACACAAATTAAGTTTAAATTTGAAATGAATATCTAATTAAATTCTTTAATTAAATTTTTATTGCATTAACGATTCTTAATTAAAAGCGATTAGAATAAATTTTAAACTGATTTTAACTAAATTATCCGATAATGTAATTTATACCATGAAATTTTGCTATTGCGTTAAACTTATTACTAAACTATTTAACATTAATTCAAATTAAATTATTCTAATTTATCAATTAAAATATTTTTAAAGATTAAATATTATTTTTTAAATGTGTAATTAAATCTGATCACTTTTGTATCTGTAATTCTATAGGTTGAATGGCATTTTTATTGATACAGGCAAAAATAAAAAAAATAACCCACTTTCCATCATCAACTCACAAATAATAATGCTTTTTAATGAATGTGAGTTACGTGTCAATGATTTCGAATCGATTTTAAATGTCACAAATTGTAGTTTCACAAACGATAGTTTCAAATGAGAACATAAACCGGAAATTCGGTTGTTTTTCTACTAGCTTTGCAATATGATAATTGAAAGTTCGATACTTCTGAATGAATGACATATTTTATGCAGCTCATATGACACTCTTTACAGGTAAAAAGTAAGAGAAAAATTCTATTTTCTGAGTTAAAAAAATAAATAATTAATATATTGTTTGTATGTACTTGTTATGTACAGCATCTCCTGACAAATAGTAGCAATACTTAAATACTGTCAGAATTGTTTATATAACCGCATTATTTCTTTAAAATAGATTGCAGAAGCATATTAGATGATTGATAATGTTTCCTTTAAAATCACTAAAAAGGTTTTAAAATTAGAAACATGTTGTCTTTATATTTGTAAATAAACATATAAAATTAATATTATAAAATTTAAGATTATTATATTGATTTTAAAATTAAATTTATAATTTAACAATTAATTTTAGATAATTGTATATAATCTTTTAATTTATTATATTTTTTTAAAAAATAAATTTGTGTGTAGAAACATTTGCTAAGATAAACACTAAAAGACTGCAAAGGTTTATTAGATAATCTTTAAACCTTTAGACCTTTTAAAAGTCTAATTAACCTTTAAAGGGTTATATTTCTTCCTAATGATGATTTATAAATATATTATTAAATTAGTTAAAAAAGTAAATAAAGTGAGTAAGAAAGGAAACAAGACAGGCGTTTATATTGCATACAATTAGTTTTAATATTTAATCTGTTTAGTCAGTTTTTAACTTGTTTACCTCGAAGTTTATTTATATTAGATATAAAGTTAAAATAATTTATTTTCTGAATTGTTCCATTTGCCAAATATTACAATAATGTAGCGTTGATAAATAAAAACTTTAATGTACACTTGAAAATTGATCATCACGTTTCGCAAAATCAATATTAAAACTCAGTCGGATGATTCTGAATAGTTTTTCCATTTTCAGATTGAATTTATAAATTTACTTCTGTAAATAAACAAGTTTTATGTTTATAAATGGAAATTCTCGTATATATTTACAAGAACTGTATAAAAATTTACCGAATTTTCGATACTAATCATCACGAAATTCGGATTTATGTCAAATTGATTTAACATTTATTTGGAAATGCATTGTTATTAAATATTCTGTTATTATTACTATAATGTAGAATGTATTATACGCATATTACATATGATACAAATATAGTTTACTTATCTGAATCCAGAGCTATAAAAGAAAATTGCTTTACTTTATATTCTACTCAATAGATTTCTAATCTTTATCACATTTCCTATGCACAGAAATGACAAAATTAAACAGTAATTTTTACTTAACGTAATTATGATTAAAGTAGCTATAACAAATAAATTTTCTTACTGGCAAAATTAAATAAATAACTGTTGTGAAACTACATAAACCTATGTAACTGGAAATCCGATACAAAACCGTGTCGGATATATAAGGTTACAACGGTAATCAAGAGAACATTATTGTAAATAAACACAAAACATAATTCATAAAGTATTACAGTATTTATATAATATTTTTAGTCACGTACAATCTTATATATTTACTTATAATTTAAAAATAATTTTCTAATTCATTTTAAAACATATTTATGATTTTTCAGTTGTTTGGAGGAATATGCTTGGGACTTGTATTTACTTATGGTACTCCAATATGGCTTCTGCTTGGACCTTCTTACGCTTTATTTATTACTAGTTCGGCAGCTGCCGTAATCGGAGCAACTGTGGCTCTTTTCTCTTACCTCATCTCTGCCCATACTTACAGAACCGTTCGAAGCACAGTTTATGTGAGTCTTTAAAGTATTACTGTAAAAATCGTAATACACTTTTTTAATACTATAAGCAATATCTTTAATATAAAACTTATTATTAAATATCAAGATTTGCAAAATTATGGCCTAGAGACGATTAATAATTTTATGAGTCATGACGAACATTTATGAGTCATGAATTTTTAAAATCCATGGAAATTGTGTGTGTGAATTTCCTCTGTGTACAAAATAGGAATTTTATTTTTTCTATTTATATACCTATTAAGAAAGGTTCAAAATCTAAGAATAAATAAAAATCGTTCATTTGCGCGATAATAGAACATTCTTCACGTAAATGCAAATACAATGCAATTGTCTAAGAAGTGAAGACACATTAACTCTTGCATACTTATGAATTTCAGCATTTCGAAGCATATGAAATTAGGTAATTCGTGAGTTTACACGAATTTGGAAATTACAAGGAAATAAGATCGAACTGTTTTTATTTACGAATTATTTAGTTCCAATGAAGGAAAAAATTTCCAATATTATTGTTTGAGGAAAAACAGTTATAGTAGTTATTTTGCAATATATTACCTATAAATTGTCCTATTTCATATTTGTAGTTTTCTCACAAGAAGCTCAGACCCTTTCACATAAAAACAATTCACATACTTAACTTCTAATTAAACTCCAATAATTCAATAGTGAGATCACATCTATAATAAAAAACGAATTATTGTATATCATTTAACTTCTAATCTATTCTAATGTCTTAATTATAAGATAGAATTTTCCATCTAAAACAAACTTTGTTAAAGCTTATTCATGCTACAATTCAATAAGTGACCAGTAAAACTTTGAATATTTAATTTTGAAATTTGAATATAGTTATTTTATCTATCATCGCTATTTTCTAATGGAAAATTTATATTTACCAAAAATCTTATAGCCTACATTTTCTTGGTTATCAATTTTAAAATTTGGAAAAACCGTAAAAGATGTGAAGATCCTACAACGCAATGTTTTTATTTGAATAATATATTTAAATTAATGAGCAAAAAGCGAGCTTGTAGACTTATACCCAACTGTAACGTCAATGACTTTTCATTCTTAAACTGTAATCAAAGTTGTTATGATTTTAAAATAAATCAAAGAAAAACAGTTATATGTAACACAGAGAAATACTAAAAAGTTTAAACTTTCAACTATGAAATTCTTAACTCCTCATAATAAATTACATGATAAATCATATTTGTTTATTTATAAAAACAATATTTATTACTTAATAATAAAAAATCTTATTTATGAAGAATGTTATTGGAATATTCAGTGTTCTTAATGCATAGCCTAAGACGATAATTTAATTAATGAGGGGAATGATGGTTTTATCTTTATACCTAATTAAGCTGTTCCTATGAGCGTTCACATAAAAAAAAAACCATAAACACTAAATTTGATATGCTGCTGTCTTAATATGTTATCTATTTGAAAATATTGATGGCCGGATTTGGTCCATTAGCCGACTTTTGCCCACCTCTGCTATATTTCAAAAATAACTACTTATGAGGTTATGTTGTAACTTAGATTCAGTTTAGTCATTAATACATATAACAAATTCTTGAATTATATTAAACTCAATCTGATTTTATTGAATAAACTATTATTATTATTATATAATTTTATAAATGAATAATTATTCTTACCATTGCTGTTGAATATAATAAATTTTATAATTAAAAAATATAATTAGCTTAATATTTGTAACATTTCATATAAAATTTATGAATTCTTTTACATAAATATTGAAATAAAAAACTTGTTACCTTTATAAAATATTCTAATTAACTGGAAAATGATTTTTTAAAATGCAAATTGACTTCATTATTATTGTACAAATGATTTTATATGAAAAATGATATTAAATAACTTTTTAAATTATGATGATAATTAATTATTTCTAGAATACTGTATTAAAAAATGTAAATAAATACTTTAACATATAAATTTCTTCTTATTGAAATAATAAAAAAATATACATTATTATTATTTATAATCAGAAATAAATTCAAAATTAAATATAGATTTTACATAATCTGTATAAAAAGACATATATTTAATTCTTTCAATTATTATTTTGCTTTGAAACTGTTACCATGTATTTATAGTTCACGGTTTAAAGACGTAATAATATTTTTCTTCGTTATTTAAATTTGACCTCATTTTGTAAAATGAAATTTATAAATAGCATTATTACATCTTTGACAGATATAGTTTATATCTAACATATTTATTAATTAATATAAAATTTTACTCACAAAATATGAATTTATAAAAATCTTAATTACCGTATACTGATCAAAAACTGAAAACAATGAATGATTAATTATATTTATGAATTTTATTTACTTAATTAATTTTTATTTTGTCCACATTTTCCTCCTAACCAAGGATCATTTAAGGTAATTACACTATTAACTTTATAAAATATATTACATAGATTATAGTTACTGTATATAATATTATGGGTCACAACATTCTCACGAACTCAGTGAGGCGATTCTTTACAATCTCTATTCCATTTGTTCTTCACAGGAAATCGTTCAAAATGTAGTAGCTTCTATATTATACATATCTGCTTCTGTCTTCCTGTTGATTCAGACTTCTGTATTTCTATGGCCTATGTATCTCATCATCCCATATTTTCAAGCTTATCCAGCTCTGATGACTGCGGGGGTAAAAAAAAATCACAAATAATAAAATGATCATATATTTTTATTATTAAATTATGATTTAAATATCTTTATTCTTTCAGGTTTTCGGAATTGCCAGTTGCTTGATACATATCTACGATGCTTACCACGCTTACAAGAGCTTTAAACAATAAATATTGATGTTTATTTAAAAATTTGAGTGCAATCATAAGTGTTTCGAAGTAATTTATATCATTCCAGTTAATGTTTTTTTTATTATTATAAATTATTTATAATTTGAATTGATCATTTATATAGTCTATTCCAAATGTTTGAAGCATTTAGTAAAATGGAAATTTAATTTGTGTTCTAATTTTATGCTTTTGTTAACATTTGAAAAAATATTTTAACGAGTTAAATTATTACAAGAAGATAATAAAAATTAAATTTTCTTTTTAATTATGATTTTGTGTGTGTGTGTTCGTTAATTGATTTGCGTTACGGTCCAGGAATATAATTAAATGTAAGACAATAAACAATTTTTTCTAAACAGTTTTTTTTTTTAAATCCCAGACGACCAAACTCTTATGTTTTATGAATCAGATTCACTTAGCGACCTATTTCGGGTACTAAATTAGTAATTTAAGCAATAAAACACAATTTCAATTAAATAGCAAGTAGTGAAACGTTATGCGTAACACAAAGTTCGTATTTTAGATAATTAATTTACAAAACAATTATGAAATATAATTATACATTTTGTTCTTTTAAATAAATAAAAAATTGTAGTAATAATGATAAGAAATCTAAAGTAATTATAAATAATTGAATAACAGCATGAAAAACTTAAATTTGCATCCTATTTTTACTCTTCTGAAAAACTTCGTTAAGGTTTACTGCTCGTAATAAATAACATCTCGATTGTATCCACGCTTGACAGTTCGTTAGCGACTTCGATAAAACGAAGCCCAGCTACATTTTATAAAAATAAATTTTTAAATTCCAATTTTTTAAAAAACTTGTCATTATTTATTGAGGAAGTAATATATTTTATTTTCGAAGTTAGCGGCATACTCCGAAAGAAAGAAGACGTTTCTACGAAGATTACTTTATAATTGATTATTTTAATTATTAAAATATATAAAAATAATCATTAAATTTTCATTGATTAAAACGGAAAAAAACATTTACGGTATTTAAACGTATTTTTAATTGACAAGCGCTTTGAATAATTTTATTGTTATTAAGTACAGTAAAATGATACTGTTAAGGTAACAATGCACAGATGGTGGCGCTTAAATCACGTGTCTCGACAATTACGCATAGGTTTTAGTGTCAGACAGATGGCGCCACACCGAAATCATTCCTTCCATTAGGTGGCGCTAGCATAGGTAAAGGGCCATGTAACGAAGTGTGTGTAGAAGAGGTAGAAATCACGTTTATTCAAAACTCGCTTGTCAAAGAGGTGTGATTAAAACAACGGATTTCCTGAATATATCGCAATAATACAGGTAATTCGTTCCTTTTCTCTATTCTCCGGACTCTAATACGCATTATTTTTTACGAATAACTTTAATCTAAACAATTGTATATAAATTAATCGATAACAATTATACAAAAGCTGTCTGTCAAAGACGCTTTTTTTTAAATTAGATTAACAAGGATTTTTTAAAACCGGAAAGTGTATACAGGTATTTTTATATAAATAAAAATACTTTAATGCGATGTTATGTTGATATGGAGGGTTTTTCTTTGCTTTTCTGTTACCTTATTTTGCTTTTGACAACGCCAAAAACTACTTCCGTATCTATTTAAAGACTTCAAAAAATATTTAAACCATAGTTTAAACTTTAATATGTTTTTTAAAACCGTAAACAATTCTTTAAACTGTTAAAATTAATAATAAAAAATAATAATAAGAGGGATTGATTCTTATAAGTTAAGAGGAAAGTATAGAGTTGACCTTGAAAACTAGTTGAGGTAGAATCTTAAATTTTTTTTTTTTTAAATACGTTTCTCCGCCATTTACCTAATCTGGCAACGAGAAAGATTAAAAATAATTTTCCGAACGTTAAGTAAATAAATTATTTAGAAGTGATTTGTTTACTCTCATTTATCCATATTTTCATGCTTTGTGCCGCATTTGGAACATTTCCGTTTATCCAATTATCTAAATTGCTTAACAAGAGCCAGGTAATGGGAAATCGGTGAACCGCATCTTCGTTTGTTTCGTGTTCTTCCGAATAAAACAACAAAAAAAATATATCGAACTAGCCGATTTTTTTATTAAATAAATATTCCCCACTCCAACAAGTTACGCGTAGTTAAGATCATCTGGAGATTAACGTTGTAATACGCAACGTTTCTTTAGTTGTCTGCGTTAACGCATCCGTTAACGTGTCGTTCGGTAACGCCAAAACGGTAATACTTCCGCATCGAGATCAGTCGGGTCAACTGACGTAGACGTCAACCCCGAAATAGTCGATCTGTCTATTGGTTCCAGTCACGAAAATCTACATGCATAAAATTTCACTGCTAATTTTTTCCATCAATAATATACTAATGTTAACTTCCGTGAAGATTGCGTAGCGAAGGGTCAGTTATTTTCTATGCCGTTCATTGTTCGATATGCCCGTTATTGTTTGGTGATTTCGTATGTCAAGTGCAATGACACCTGTCAAGACAAGTACATTGACTCGAAACCTTGATATTGTATTAAAAACAAGTAAAAGTCTCGAATATTTTTTTGTTATAAGAAATGACAAAAAAATGTCTTTTAAAACTAGAATTGTAATAATTATAATTTTTAACACTAAAGTAAAGCATGGATTAACTCATTTCGTGTCAAGGTATCTCGAGTGGTTCTGCTTAGATGCTGAGTACAAAAGTACTAAATAATAAATCTCAGTTGATGTCAAGGTGGCTCTAACCTATTTTAATATAATTTGAATTTTTGCCCGTCTGGTTTAACTTATTTTAAATATAAATACTGATCAAATTATCTAGAAATAAAAATAGAAACTCTACTCTTAGATCTTGTTTAGCATTAAACTTTAATTCTCATATAAAATTTTTAAGATGTACTTTTAATTAGCTTAATTTATTAAATTTCTGTATTTTATCTTTAAAAATACTTAGAATTGTTACCAGTATTGATTTAAGCAAAATAATTTTTTTTTAGATTTTAATAATAGAAAAAAAAAATCAAAACAGAATTAAATAGTTAATTATAAATTGATTTTAATCAATTATATTTGAATCTGATTATTAGGATTTTACTAACTATACACAAAGTCCTTCTCTTAATAATTTTAATTATAAACAGTTCTAATGTGTTACTAACGTCACAATGTAATCGCTTTTAAAAGTGATTAATTTTTACAACGATTTATACTTTAAATGACATCACGGAAATTTTCTAGTCATCATTTCCTTGACATTACTTTTAATGAGCTATAAATAGAAGCATTGAAATTCATTATGAAACGGAATTTAAAATTCCTAATTTATTACACTTTGCGGAGCTGAAACTTGTTGATCTGTTGTCACCTAGAAAAATATTTCCATTATTTTTTATCCAAAAATGTTCATATCGATTCTAAAACAGAGATTACTTTAGGTTATGAATGAGTCACGTTCGCCTACGGACAATTTATCATTCAATAACCGAGGATAACTCGAGGACGCCCGAATCAGATCCTATATTTTCGATCTGAATCACTATACATTTAAAATTGGCACTTCTCTTTTATCATAGATTTTTACCCAAACGTACTATCCTTACGTGTCTAGTACAATAGCCTGACCCATTTTTCTTACTAAGAAATTTGTCGTACCGAATTGCGGGGCACTCCTACGCGGTACTTGGAACACTTAGGTAAATAGACATTCAAAATTAGTTTCAAAAATGTATGCAAAAAAAACAAGAAAAAATTAATTAAATATTAAAACATCTGGCGATATTTAAACACTTCAAGTTATTCTTCGAAAGACAAATTTCGGAATTAAATTTATCAATCGCGGTACATTTTTCAAACGTATCATTAGCCTGCAAAATTTTGGAGAGCGAATTCTAAATATAAATCCAGACAAAGTATTTGTCGGAGTATTAAAATGCCTCCAGAAATAATTTATTTCTTTTTATCGCTTTAAAATGTTTCCTTAGATTCACATTAGTTCTATAATTTTTTGGCGTTATCGTGTTAAAATAACGTAGGTAACTTGTTACAATGTCCGACACTGAAAATCGATGTGAATTTATAAGAAACTTACCGACTTTTTTTTTTAAATTCTATTTCTATCGAAGTTCAATACAGGTACATTACATCTTTTTATAGCGAAAGTAGCCTGTTTTCATTCGACTATCTCCATCCATCAAATTTCCTCGAGAACTCAAAAATGATTCGATAGATCGGATAGTACACAAGTTTCTACATTCGTTTATGTATTACACTTTAAATGATCGTAAATTCCGTTGCAGAAGTTTAATACGACGAAATTATTTCGTCAATTTTATCGTCATTAATCGGGCATTAAAATATTGTAATGCGAAGAATTTTTAAAGAAATTGAAATAAGCTTCCACTTTACGTAAATTTAAAATATTCAACTTTTATCTACAATAATAAAACTTGAGCGATATCAGCTAGTCTAGTTATAAATATAGAGCAATGTGCCGTCTTGGCGGAACTGGTTCCAGACTATTAAACATCTAAAAATCCCTAAAATTCGCCATTTTCCTAAAAATATGCGAATTTTGGGGATTTTTCTTAGATGTTTCTTAGAAAATAATTCATTCATAGTCTTTGCATGCCATTGAGAAATAGACGGAGGAAACTGTTGGGCCGATAACAGTTTATCATTGATAGGAATAATACCGCATACGTAAGTATAAAATACACACATTTATAGGTATAAATTTAAAATAAATTTTATAATAGTTATTATGGTTTTCTAATACAAAATATGTTAAATTTTACTTGCACGTAACTTATTTCATGCATGCAACAACAAGGAAATAATCACGAAAGTAGCCTACTTAAAAATGCATTAGAAACGAATATAAAAAATAATGAATTTATGTATAAAAGCATTCTCAAAAATTTTTTCGTACTGTTCCCTTTATTAATAAGATTGAATAGTTTTGCGTCACGTGTTTAAAAATAGCGATGTATTTGTACATTCTGATATGTATTCAGGCGTCGTATCAGTGACGTAAATGCATCCTGGTCGATGTAAATTTGTTAAAATTACCAAACCGAGACATTTAAATAGATGGGGTTTATGGTTAACTTTTATTTTATGTAAATCTAAATTTAATAGTTTGGAATTTTGTAATTGTATTTGTAACATTTCATTTGTTTTCGTTACGTCAAAACCTAACAGTATGCTAATAATAACGAAATC